CGGAGAGAGACTGAGTCATAATGGGGAAAAACCCGGTGCAATAAAGTCGATCCTCTTGACTTTAACATACACACAGACAGATAAAACCCATTACAAACACTCACGCTCCCTTGCAAAAGCTGACACACCCACACACATACATACATATGTGAATTACGTGCAGCCAGTCGCAGAATCCTTCATCCATGTATACTCAACTAGGGATTTTTTTTAGGTCGCTTCACATAAATAAAGCACGCCTGTACATGAGTGATACCATAGGACGCAATAATACACAAACAGATCCAGCATATACGCACTGAAGACGACTGATTGTCCCGTCAAGAAGGGTATTGTGTGGATGATACTACCGCCAGTTTTTAGGTACATCTTCATTCTTTTGTCATCGCCTATTCTTCCCGGGAAATTTTCTAGTATCCACTTAAGGCTGGCGACCTAGGTGACAATTGAGGATAAATATTTGCAAAGATGTTCAAACACACGAGGACGTATATGCTGGGGACAGGCCAACTGGGCTATCGCGAGAGCCACACAGGATATGGGGACGCATAATCGCATCTAATCCTTGCCAGTGGGTGGGGTATAACCGACTGGTGCCGCTCCATGTCGAGATAGAAGGGCGAAATCTTAGCCTGGGTGCCATGATTGGGGACTGCTCAGTATTGATTCCCGACAAGATCTCACTGGCCCTCGCTCCCTGATGTCTTGTTTTTATTTTATCCTTTCCAGATAATATATGTGTGTACTATGCCATGTAGTCTCGTGTGAGCCACTACTTATAGCATATGTGTTCAAACGATTTACTGTAACATTGTTACTGTCTTCGATATTTCAACCTCGCACCTGCAGTTTGTGAGGACATAATCTACAGAACAGCATCGATTCTGTAACATTATTAATTCGATTGCTTTCCGCGTTGAAGCGACTGGCTTGTTACGATCAGTCTGCGACATTGGTTGTTGAGTCGGTGTTATATTACGACATACACCGCCAGAAGTGACCTTTAATTCAGAGATCAGGACATGTGTGGTACCACGTATATCGGCGTCACATGTTTGAAATGAGAAGGTATCTCAGTGTATGCTTTATATGTGTGCCATGGATGTTAGAGAGTTAAGGAGACTCAGCCTATCTGGTCTTTATTATGTTTGACTAAACAACTTGTATTTACAATGGTTGACATCATAATTGACACGTAAAATCCTTACCCGGCAAGGTTATAATTTGACGTATTTGGTGTCAATTTTTGCGGAACAAATTCGTTATTGTACAAGTTAAAGCTCATTCAACCAAATCGGGCTACTTTCTCTTTTTTTTTCTCTCTCCTATTTTAGCCTTCGTCGTTTCATTCTCCTCCTCCTCCTCCTTTTTCGCGGCTCTGCTGCAGCGGTCGTCACCTCCTCCATCATCATTACCATCATTGTCTGTGCGTAGGCTATATATATATTTATATATATATATATTTGTTTATTTACGGGCTGGTCTTTTCCCTATTAAATATGCTTTGGCCAACCTCACTGTCAGTGCTACACAGATTGAACGACCTGAAAAGTTGCAAAATGAAGCCATGCGCAATATTTTTGGATGTACAAGAGGCACTTTCTGTGTAGCAGTGAGATATCTACTAGACTTTCCAACCATAAACCAAAGGAGCATGATCTGGAGGACTCGGGCATACATTAAGATATGCGCTGATAAAAAACACCCACTGCATGAAGCGCTTTTTAGTGAAAAGTGTGACAGGCTGAAGAGGATGAAATCATGGGTAGGTCGGGCACAAGATGTTATTGGGCATTTATGCAGCCTAACCGACATCGCCCCTAGTGCCTCGTGCGTTTATTTGTACATTTTCCATATATTATTACATTCGACGGGCGATGCAGGTAGCAGAATCCTGTTGCTGTCAATGCAGAGGTCAACGCTGTCAATTCAAACGAAGCAGATATACTGATCTACAAAGACAAATCTGTTATACGTTAACAGTCAAAGAAGCCAGCGGCACCTTTTCCCTGACAAACAACAGCAGGACGATGGAGGTGATGGCAGTAACGCAAGCATTCGTATGTGAACTCAGTGATTCAATGAATATGATCCTAGGGGTTCAGGCAGGTTCGGTGCGAAGGCAATGGTTTGAATTATTACAGAAGTCCACTGTGCGTGGAGTCACCTTTATTTTTGTTCCGGGACACCCGGGCGTCGATGGAAATGAAAGAGCTGATAGGTTTGCTGGATCCGGTATCACTGCTGACGGTCAGCCTGTGGCTCATGCTGATATTATTAATGCCCTCTGAGAAGTGGGAAGGGTGGAGGACTTTAGGGGCAGTGCATACACACCACTTGCAAGAATGATAAACTTGGGAGTTGAGATCGGCATAGCAAAAAACAAGACGCACACCAGGCAGGCACATCAGAGGACTTGTTAGTCAACATAGGACTGGTACTATTAGCCATCGGATGCTGGGGTTCATACGAAGGGGAGGAACTGAGCACATTTGAACATGTCCGGAGTGCAGTGGTGATCATCTAACTAACTAGGCAGTATACTAAATCATAGTAGTGTTCGTGGAGTCGCCTTCCTTCGCCTTTACGCTGAATGACACGACCTCTTCCCGACCCCGTTTGTTGCCGCTGACCGCTCATCTGTGGAATGGAGATGCATAATGAAAATATGCACGGGGCATTAGAAAATGATTAACCTCGCACTATCTTGGTAAATAAGTTGTTAGAAGAACTCAGCCACGGTCATCACAACAGGTCAGTGCAGAATCACTTTGATCACCCCAAGGATTTACCTGGAAACATCCTTCCAATGGCTTGAAAGCTAAAATCATATTCCCGCCAGCTAGCGATAAATGGGCATACTAGTTAATATATGTGTGGTAAAACACAATTACACTCGTTAACAGTAAGTATATAGGATCAAACAATTGTGCCCTTAGATAGTATAAACAGTTTGACTCGAGGGTAGTCAGTAAACAGTTGCACCCATTGTAAAAAGTCACCTTATGATGTGTAATAAATGTCCTTTATCTTGGATAAAGTCTGACAGTGGAATGCACACTCACGCACGCACGCACGCACCACCCCACCCCCTTTCAACTGGTTTCTTAAAATTATTGCTTACTATTCAGTCTGTCTATGTGAATGTGAAAATGCACTGTAAGCACGATATCACTTGTTTCCTCACTGGTACACAGGTCACATGTCAAGCTGGCAGAAGACCTCCACAAGTCTGAAAGTAAGTCTACTGCTGTCTGTCAATAATGTGCCTTGTTGACTCATTCACTTTCAAGCATTTTTGGTTTCTTAATACATCTATACTTTGATTAACTCCTTCTTTCTGAGACAGTAGTTACAGAAGTCTACTAACTCTATATTGCTGTTTAACTCTTTCTGCTCAGTAATGTAATCAGTGGGTTTACTCACATCTATAAATGCATTACTGTGAAGTAAAACCTCTTGGTCAGAAAGAGTCGAAGGAACAACAACTTGAGTGTGAAATATACTACTTGTCAGAAGTCACTCCCCCCCCCCCCCCCCCCCCCCACTGTTTTTGTATTACCCTATTATACAAGCGCATAGAATGATTCAGTGAAGTAATCTGCCTACCTTTGGGTACAAATCTGAGTTCTGTTGGTTCTAGAGCTTATGAGGAAAACAAGAGTAGATCCACTGCCTCCCCAACAAGCAGTAGGAGTTGTTTACTTAGTGGCTTCCTTCAAAGTCGGAGTGCATCTGCCCAAGTGGCAAGGAACAACCAACTGCACATAAATAAGCCAGCAAAATGGATTTACACAAAACTCAGGCCCTGACACAAAGCCAAAGTCCAAAAGGATGAACAATCAGGACTTTCCGCTAGAGTTTAAGCTGGTTAACAAAAAAGAAGAAGAATACAAACCTTTAGAGTGATGGACAAGCGTCTAGCCACTGCACTACCATGACTCTATTTTTGTTTTCTATGTTCATCCTTAGAAGAGCAATGGGCACATTGTGGCTTACAGCTAGGCTATACCTATGTCTTTGGACCCAAGACATCTGATTTCAGCAAATCCTTAATTAGTTGATTTTGTGACATACTTGTTGAGGTGCAGTGAATCTGTTCCATTTTTGCCTTAAAGGGGACATAGAACCCACAATGAGAGCACCACATTAAATGGTAAGTGTGTAAATTACTGCAACATGTTCTCTTTGGCAAGTCCTGGTCTCATATTATGACACCAAGTTATTGTGAAACACTGGTTTCTCTTCATTTACCCAAGTCTTGTCTCATGTCATGGCACCAAGTCAGTGTAGCACCAAGTCATTGTAAGACACTGATTGATCCTCATATACACACGTCATTTTCTCATGTTGGCACCAACTCATTATAAGACACTAATTGACCCTTATTTACACAAGTCATTGTCTCATATGTTGGCACCAAGTTGCTTTAAGACACTGGTTCCCTTTTTACTTTCAGTACACATTTGTGAACTAGATGAGGAGCTGCAGAACACACAGCTGACACTGAATATTGAGAAACAGAGGTCTGCAGAACTAGAGGTAAGCTTCTGGTTTATTGCATACCTTTGCATGTGTGTGTCCAGTGAGCAGGATCTTCCACATACAACATCATGACACTTGCTAACTGCTTTATGTGTACACTGGGGGGTCCTGTGGTAGAGTAGTTGAGTAGTTCTTCAAATACAAATAATTGCCACACATAACACTAAGTCTGTCACGAGTGCCATACATACACTGTCTCTCCCACATATGTACATAAACACTGTACTCTTCTGCATAATAAGTACCAACAATGGACACACATTGTTTCTTACACAGGAACCTAAGTGTATGCACTTAGTCTCCTACATAGTGTCCCATACATGAACACTGTGAATTTCACACATATGTACTTAATACACACATACACAGACACACACAGGCACAAATGTGCCCTTAGAACTGAACTCATTCAAGCTCTATTTATTTAAGCTTGTATCATTGTCTATTTTCTGTAGGAGAGCTTATATAGCAGTACTTTGGCTAGACAGCTTGACTTGAAGGATATTTGGAGGCTGGTGCAGAAAGATGTGGAGACAGAGTGCGAAGAATTTCAGGTGATTAGTCTCTTCATGTGTTGTACAGTGTTTGGGTGTTCAGTTACTTCTGTGTTGTAAAATATTTACAGGAATAACTTTTAGCATTTTAAAAATTTTTTATGTATTGGTGCTTGTAACATTGTCAGGTCCAGAAAGAGAGTGACTTCCTTTGTCATTTATGCCTCGTCATGTCGCAGGGCCTGTCCTATGTTGCGAGGATGTCGCGCTTAATGACTGGCCAGCAACACATAGTGTTTTACTCGTCGGCACTGAGCGGTATTGGGTATTCTATATTCTACGATTTGAGTGCTTTTAACAGTCCCAAAGTGTGTAGAACTGGCTCTCACCCCAAACCCCTTACGCCACAGCCTATGTCCCACGAGAGAGTGCAGCCTGCTTGCTAATAACATGGAGTAAAATACTATGTGTTACTAGCCGTTCACTAAACGTGGCACCCCTGCAACAAAGGACAGGCCCTGCGACATGACGAGGCATTAATGGTAAGGGAAGTCACTCTCTTTTTGGGCCGGACAACATTACCATAACCCATTAAATCTTTAACATAGAAAATAATTATTGTTTAAAGCCCATTTTGGAAATATGCGAGAATCATTTTAATCACAGTCATATTTAGATTTTCTTAAAATTTAAATTGTGACCACAGTTTGTTGTCTAACTTGTAATGAAAACTGATTGTCTTACTTCTTTTAACAATTATATAATTTCTAATAGCCACTGTTTAACTCTTCATACCCTTTATGGATGCAATTTTTTATTATTTTGAAGCTCACCCTGGTTCTTGCCAAAGGCTGCAATATAGTCCAGCCATAAATATGACCTAATGGCTGAAACACAGTTTCTGGGACCTCCCCATGGGTGATCCTCATCCGCATAGTGGCACTTTGTGTCATCGGGTATTTATTGCTTGTGTGATGTCCTAGTGGGGTAAAATCTACTACTACAATGACAGTGGGTGGCTAAATTTAAGCAAGTGATGGCTGAAAATCTAGTGACAACTGATTATAATTTGTCAGTGACGATCATATAAAAATGATAACTATTTATATAATTATATTTTTGTTGTAACTGTTTTGCTGTAGTCGTGTGTTCTTTGGAAGTAGTGTCACATGGACTATATGTTTTTATTTGTTCAAAATATGTAGGATGATTCTCTCAACACAAGTGCAGCAGATCAGCTGAAAGAGAAGATTTCAAGAGAAATAGAAGCTTTGAAAGTTAATTTTGAGAGAAAAGAATCATTTTTGGGATCTCTGGTATGTGTTATCAATATAGTGTTCATGCGTGTATATTAACCCTATGGAAACACATGTAGGGCTAGTAACACTATAGAACTACATGTGGAGCTATTAACACTATAAAACAATATGTAGAGCTGTTGACACTGTAGAACCCTATGGAGAGCAATTAACAATGTAGAACTACATGTAGGGCTAGTAATACTATAGAACCACATGTAGAGCTTTAATTCTATAGAACTACATGAAGAGCTATTAATACTGTAGAGCTAATAATACTATAAAACCACATGAAGAGCTTTTAATTGTATAGAACTACATATAGAGCTGTTAATACTGTAGAACTACATGTAGAGCTATTAATACTATAGAACCACATGTAGAGCTTTTAATACTATAGAACTACACGTAGAGCTTTCCTGGGATCTCATTACGTGGAAAACAAGAATAGACGCATTGCCTCCCCAGCAAGCATGTCGTAAGAGTCGACTGATTGTGGGCTTCCTTCAGAGTCAGAGTGCATTTGACTGAGAGACAAGGAATCAACAGTCTGCATACAAATATGCAAGATCTGTAAAACGGATGCACATGCAAAGCTCAGGTCTTGGAACAAAACTTTGGCCCAGAAATGGACGAACTACCAGGGCTTTCCCTCAGGGTTTACGGCCAGTGAACGCAAACAAACAACATTACTGTTGTTGTATAATTCCACCAAAGATTGGGAACTGTATCCCTGAAAACAAATGTTCAGATGGAGAGTTATGATGCTGAATGTGTACAGTGTTCTTCTAATGATTTTTTGATGAAACATTACAAGAGGTGATTGAACAGTTTTCATTGTGTCACATAAAAATCCACAGAAAAATAACAACTTGGACCTGCACTTCATTAAAAATAATGATCTTTATCGGACTTGCCGCTGGAATTATGGTCGTAATATGTCACCAACCTCTCCTCTTGTTGGTAAGCAGTTTATATTTTCAACTGTTATTTTGTGTGTGTCTAGCAGATTGTATTGTGTGTAACGTATATGCTGCATTAATGATATTTGATTGTAAAGGATATGATGTGTGTGAATTGTGTAATGAACATGTAATGTAGAATATTTTGATATGGCATGTGTGAATGTAAAGAATATGTAATGTATAATGTTTTAATATGAATGTGAAGAATGTGTTATGTAAAGTATGTTTTAAAGTGAGACTGAAGAATGTGTAATGTAGAGTATGTTTTAATGAGAATGTAAAAAGTATGAAATGTAAAAATGCTTTTTTTTTTTTCCACATGCGTGCAAAGAATATGTTATCTGCAATTTGTTTTGTATGTCATATGACCTGTATGCAGATAAACCAATCTCAGTGTCTTTATCACAAACATATGAAAGGTACCTTAGCAGGTGTAGCATAATTAATCAGAGCAATTGTTAGAAGCTAGCATTGGGTGTCAGCACTATGTCACTATAGACATTCAATGCCTAGGTTACTAGGAGAGACTGCACACTCCATCCATGATGTAGGAGTTGTAAAAACCTGTGACTTGAATCTGTTGTGTTTTAGTGATCTAGGGTGTTTCCTCCATATATTCAATCTTATAGAATGGCGTCATTTATCTTCTTCTTAAACCATGATTTTGTAAGCATTTTTCTGTAACATATGAGTGCAAAAGTCTTAGATGTCATCTTTGGTGTGTGCGTGCGTGTGTGCATGCATATCTGTCTCTCTGTCTGCATGTATGTGTGTATGTGTGTATCTGTCTGTCTCTCTCTCTGTCTGCATATATGTGTGTGTGTATGCATGCGTGCCTGCATGTGCACACGCACAAAGCAGTGTGAATGCACTGTGTGCAGTGTTTGTATGTATGTAAGTATGTATGTATGTATGTATGTATGTATGTATGTATGTATGTATGTATGTATGTATGTATGTATGTATGTATGTATGTATGTATGTATGTATGTATGTATGTATGTATGTATGTATGTATGTATGTATGTATGTATGTATGTATGTATGTATGCATGCATGCATGCATGCATGCATGTATGTATGCATGCATGCATGCATGTCTGTCTGTCTGTCTGTCTGTCTGTCTGTCTGTCTGTCTGTCTGTCTGTGTGTGTGTGTGTGCGTGCGTGCGTGCGTGCGTGCTGTGTTTGTGTTTGTGTTGTGTGTGTGTGTGTTGTTGTTGTGTGTGTTGTGTATGTATGTTTGCAGTGTATGCAGTGTATGTATGTTTGCAGTGTATTGATGGATGGATGTTTAAAGATATATGTATTCATGATGATTATAAGAAGAAGGAAAATAGAACATGTTGTGACCACTGGAAAGATCTGTAGAAAAAAAAAGAAACAGAAGAAGACAACATAAGAAGACTCTTGGCAGCCTTCAACCCTTCATTATTACCTATAGCAATGTCAGCACATAAACTGATACATGCTGTTGAAAATCGCAGATTGTGGAGAGGCATGATCACTTATGCCAGTTGGCAGACACTTGATCACTCATGACAGGCAGCAGACACTTGATGATGATAATAGGGAGACATGGGGACTATAGCCCCTGGCAACAGCAAGCATGACTACCAAGACCTGCTCGTCTTAAGAAAAGTCTTCTAGCACAAAGCTGAACTGTATTGTAGCTGTAGCATGAACTCTTTTTCTGCCTGTCTGTCTTATTTACTCCAAATGAAATTAATACCATTATGTTTGGAACAAAGCATGCTGCAGGAGCTGCCAAATCTGAACAACAGTGCTCTGTCAGCCTTCAGAGCTTCCTTCTAGAACAGGTACCAACCAAAGCTAAGGGTCTGTTTCCGTAACATTAGGTTTTCAATTTGCATTTCCTTTTCCCGGGATAAGGCCAGCATCCTCCCTGATGTAGTTCTTTTGAATAATGATTATCACATGTGGACATAGCTTTAACATCTGTATGATTAAAAAGTTGCTGTTGATATCACTTAGATGCCCTGACCATAGATGCATTGAATGGGAATTCTCCAATGCACCATATAAATAACCTCTACCAACCTGCATTTGTATCTTGTGAAGATGTTGACTGCTACGAATGCAGGGCAGCCCGTCTGTTTCTTCAGAGCAGGTACTGGGTTAACTTGTGTCTTTGTGTTTACTGAGTTGGTGCTCTTTATTTTATGCACTGTGTTCATTTTTTTTTTTCAAAGTTTATGGATGCTTTAAATTTGCTGTAAACTGTCAACCAAGAGGCTGTTTCACTCCAGTCAGTGACAAGGGACTCACTGTGTGTTTGTTGGTTTCAGCAGATAAATACTTTTCTGAACTCCCTTCCACCCATTCAGTCATTACATTAACCCTCCTCTCTTCCAGTTCTTATTCAACATCCTGTTCCACAGTGTTATTTTTAATTGACGCGTTCAACCCCAACAGGACCGCATGATGAGCGACAAACATGTGGTGACACAAAGTGGCACCATTCGGATGAGAATCGCCTGTGTGCAACTTCCAGAAACCCTACCCTGTTTAGCCCATAGGTTATTTTTAGGTCCCCCGATGACAGCCGTTGTGAGGATTTAAAATAACAAAAAATTGTGTCCCATATTGGGACGGAGATTCTCATGATTGTTTTAACTCCTCACACCCAAACATTGTTTACTTTAAGAAATCAAGACTTTAAAACTTTAAAACAGCTTTTTACAATAGAACAAGTTAAAGCAAGGCCATTTTGTGGATACTTGTCTGGCAGCTCTTGGTGGATTTCCTGTTGTTATTTGTTCATTTCTTTATGTTTCACCAAGTTAATGACCATTTTATAGAAGACTGACTTTTTATATTAATTTTGGTTGGAGAACTGTTAGTGGCAGAAATGTTTGGACATAATTGGTTTATGGTTTTTTTTTTTTTTTTTAATAACTTGAAAATTTAAAGTATGAGCATAATGCTAGCCAAAAATGTACATTCTCTGAAGATTGACTTTGTTTAGAAAACATATTCTTCCTATTCTTATGTCAGGTTTGCAACATCCTGTCCCTCCATGGTACCATCTACTGCAGCTCAGGGCTGTAACGGGAATGCCAAGGATAATGTGCAGCCTTTAAATGTTACAGAGACTTATTCTGAAGCCATCAGTAGCTCTGCTGACATGGCCACTGATGTTGATGTTGTTGTGACAAACTCCCCCAAAAGGAAGAGAAGTCTCTATGGTAGTTACAGACGACAAGACTTTATCAGAAGCTCTGGTCAATGTACTGCCAGCAGAACTCCAGAATGTTCCCTCCAGTATTCACTGCCAGGGTATGGATCATGTGTGCCAAAAGACAACAACAACACAATACAAAACACAAACAAGACATGTCCCCCATCATTCCCCTGCAACAATTGTTTGCCCTCTGACTATAACCTGAATGATACTCAGGATGAACCTCCTCAGGGAAGTCGAAGGCCAAGTTTCACACTAGCACTGGAATGTAACAACCCTGGAAGTCAGCTGTCTTTAGATCATTCTCAGCTGTTTCAATCCAAAGAAGGGAGTTATTCTTTTACCGAAGAACTCAGAAGGCCAAGTTTTAAAGCTGCTATTGAAAGAGGCAAGGATAATTATTCGGCACCCAGTTCCACCCCCAAACGGAAGTTTGTTCAGATAGCTTCACCAGAGATCACAGGGAGTAGAGAAATAACTGCCCTGGCTAGCCCAGGAAGTTTGGGTAAAGGCTGAAGGCAATTTTTCCAACCTGGATTTGCCAAAGTCGGTGAAGTTCTATTTGGATGAGACAGACCAATATTATGGTACTCAAACTGGATCCATGAAATTAGCTTCTTCCAGTCAGCAAAACACTTATAATGCTGTGTCATCCGTGATTACCCCTTCATCATCATTGTCCTCATCGCAGTCTTCAGCTTTGATGTCAGCATCTTGGTTGTCATCCATGTCTTCCTCTTCTGCATTTGATGATCTCAGTCACAGTTTCAGTTTGGGCTCCAGGTAATATAAGTAATATAATTTAATTAAATACGTGGTTACCAAATATTTACTGACAAACTTAATAAATTTGTGTATTTTCGTCTTTTAAGGTTAAGATAGTCTCAAAGCCATTTACTGCTGTTAGTGTGTAATGTCTTAGGTCTTCATATACTTTATAGCTCATGTGGTTTTTGGAGCTCCATTTTGGAGAACACAGAATAGACCCACTGCACCCTGAACAAGAATGTCTTAGGAGGTGACTAGTTAGGCATGTTTCCTTTAAAGTAGACTGCATCTGCATGAAAGGGAATGAACGAACAGTCTGCATACAAATAAGCCAGATCTGTAAAATGGGTGTGCATGCAAAACTCAAGTTCTGGATCAAGACCAGAATCCAGGAGTGGATGAGCAAACAGAACTTTCCGCCAGAGTTTAACACCGGTGCTCGTTAAGTATGTCATAAAATGTATGGCGGGATGGCCTGTTCCCTTGCCTGTCATCTTTCCTTCCCAGACAGTTCTCATACAGTTCCAAGCATTGTCTCATATCCAGTTATATGCGGCTGGGTTAACCTCAGAACTGGCAGAAACAGTAATCAATTCTGCTGGGAATTGAACCCTGTCCTCTGTCTTGGCAGTATGCACTAACCACAATGCTACCATGGCTTCTCTTCAGTGCATAGTATCATTGTAGGAGTAGACAAGACAACATAACAATTGAAATACATAATTACAACACGAAAATTGGAGCCTCTTGGTCTCTGGAAACAAGTACACTTCAATGCTTTGCCAACTAGGTATCAATGCTGACATACTGATACTGTAAGTTACTTCCATTTCCTTTACAGCACACCACAAACAAATGCCAGCATTTGTTGAACATTTGTAGTTCTACTAGGTGATTAATTTTACAATTCAGTTGTTTGCAGTTGCTTTTTGAGTGGTCAGCACTCACACTGTCAAAATCATTGCAAGGCAACCTGTTGTCAAATGGCCTGAAGCTTAATCAAATATGGTACATTAAAATTATGAGACTGTTCAAAACCTCTAATTCACAGACAGAAACAATACTGGAAGAAAAATGCTTAAAGCCTAATTAGGCAGTGACGTGACTCAGGTGCAGGAGCTGTAACAGGACAGCTGGGCTTGCCAGTGTATGACTGGCTATGTAAGATCTACAGCAGTGCTGAGACATGATGCCAGTAGTGAGAATATGGAGTTGCAGGAGTAGGTGTCACTACAGCTGGTGCTGGTGAGTTAATGCACCTATGGCTGACATTGAAGATGTGAACATGTGTGAATAATAAACACTCATGAAGGATTTATGAAGTGTTAACCAGGAAATAGGGAGCCACTCATGGAAAGATTTGAGAAGTGTTAACCAGGAAGTAGTGAGCCACTCAAGGGGATTTGAGAAGTGTTAGCCAGGGATTTGTGAAGTGTTGACTATCGTTTATTGAATGACTAGCCACTCACCATGAAACAACTAATCAGGGACACATGAAATGCTGACCTGGGATCCTGGTTGAACATAAATTGGCAGCATGTGTTTTTTTTTTTTTAATTGCCCTGTTCTCATCCATTTACTTTAGTGTAGCTGTTATTGGTGTGTTTTTGAACACCTGCAGGTACTCCCAGGAAAAGGAAGACATGGGTAGCTGTGCATTGACAGAGCTGGTAAGTCAAGATCATCTCTGACTGTTACTTTTGATAATTACATTGGGGAGGGAATGGGCGGTGGGATATGCAGACATGAAGGTGCACAGCTCATAGATGGCAGCTCAGGTCAGGAGATGTGATTATATACACCGATGGGTCAGTCGCCAAGGGCAGAAAGTGGATAGGGCTTCATTGCAAAAGTATAGGGAAGAAGGGTGATGGAGGATAGCTTGGGATACTTCAATACCACATTCGGCATGGGAATGCAGGTTGAGCTTGTAACGACAGTGTTCTAATGAGTGTATAAAATCACAACCACACATGTTGTCATAGTATTAGATTCACAAAACATGCTCAGGAAGGTAGATTCAGGTTTTCTTTGTATGAAAGTGGTTGCATCAATCCAGATTTCGCAGGTGGTAAGAGTCACAAAGATATTTTGCCTACACTATGCAGGCATGTTTGAGTAAAAAACAGGCAGACAGTTGTTTGTGTACTGCAACTGTACAAGGCAGAGGTGATATCTAGCCTATAGGACAAGGTAACAAGTTAAACGGAAGCCTAATAGTTTCCCAGATGAGTGGGTATCATCAGTATGGAGACTTTTCACTGGCTCTTGAGAAGGGAGGCAGAGCTAATTTAGGCTCTTCCTAAATGCTGTGATGTCGAATATTTATCCAGATAAACCAAGATAGCGGAACTAATGAGGAGATGGTTAGCGAAACTCTGAAATACCCATATGACATATGAGGTGAAATGGGATCTTCACTGAGAACCAAAACCATGACATAATGTTACCCTAATGTTTTAGATTTAATTCATTCATTACTGACACAATTTACATTTCTCACCTCTTGGAGACCTATCCTTTTGTCACGCTCACCCACTCAGCCTTTCTTGTTACTTTAACTACACTCCCATAGAACTGTTAGTTTAACTCCTCAAGGCATAATCAGTAACTCTTAAAGTATCAGCTTCTTAGAATAAAGCCAGCTAAAGTAACACCTCTTTGATAATGAAAGACTTTAGCCATAGCATGCTACAGAAATCTGGCTCCTCAACACTTCTCCTACCCCTTGCACTACCTCTCAGTGGCCACTAGACTCTAGTTACTCAGTGATCTGGGCTTTTTTAACCTGCCAGTACCCACTAGTACATAATACCAGCACTTTTTGTGTGTCATTGTTTCAATGCTGCTATAATATACACTTTATATCAGTACCGGCACCTGTTTATACACATTTGGGTGGTCGGGGTAAGAAACAGCACTTTTTTTTTCTTGATGATGCAGTCGGTATCATGCCAGCCACATTTACTTATGAAGTCAACTGTGTTGGATGATCTGTTTAGAGCAGGCGTGTGAAAAATGCTACCCTTTATGAACCTCTGAGTCCCGCGACAAATCCAGGTGTTCAAGGCATTAACTCCTGGCCTTAGTCATTATGATTACACTACATAAATTACTAGGAAACGGGCTCAGAAAGCATGCTGAGGAAGATCAGGACAGGCATGCTTCACTGCGGAGGACATGGGTGAGGAGTATTGTCTGGATTTTTTCACCGGGTCCGCCAGTGTGTTGGGAAATAACAGGCGGACAGACAGGCTAGCTCTGCACAACTTGGTGGAATACTGATGCATGATAAGGCAGGCGTGATTAGTGGCTTGTGGGAGAGCGTGTACAGTTCGGAGGAGCAGATGGATCACCAGTCTGGTAAGATTGATGCAGGGGGAAGGGGGGGGGGGGGGTGACGAGAGGTTCTGCCAGATGCTCGAGGCTCAGAGGAAAGGCAAGACGGACGTTTAATCAGAATGCTACTGGCACCATTAGTATCGGAACTTTTAGCTGGCTGCTGAAAATGGGGATGGAGCGCTTATGGGAATGCCCCTGGTGCTGTGATGTCGGTTCTTGAATCAACTCAACTCAACTACTAGGAAACTCTTGTGGCCACTGAAACAGTTAATAAGCATATTGAGACGTATTGATTGGCGCAAATAAGGGGGAGGACAGAAATAGAGATGGGAGGACCCATTAGATAACATTACCTGGTCTAAAGGAAGTCAACCTTACACAAACTGCTGATATTGAATACTCTTATCTCGTAACACCAAGATCACAATATATAACATTGTGTAAGACCAGTTGTCTTATGTGGCTCTGAAACATGGAGTGCAGCCAAGAGTGATGAAGCCTTATTACACAATTTTTAAAGCAGTTTTGCACAAATCTTTTTCAACCCATTAAAAACCCAAACCCATTAAAGATGCAAACATCGGGGAATGAAGAATGAGAAGCAGCAATGAAATTCATTATCTGTTCAAACCACCATTTATCATCAAGGCTAATACACTGAAATGGCTGAGGCATATAGAGAGAATGACATGTGACAGAGAGGCAAAAACTGTGTTCACAAGGGAGTTGAATGGCCATAGACCACAAGGCAGACCAAAAAGACAGTGGAGAGATATAATATACAATATAAGCATACCTACAGATACTTAGTCATCAACTGAAAAGAGGGAGCCAGTCACAAAGATGAGTGGAGGTGGGTGATATCTGCAGCAATGAGCCTAAAAAAAAAAAAAAAAGAAACTTTACCCAAATGCACGTCAAATACCTTCAGTATCAGCCAATCCATAATGCCTGGTGGAATCTTGCTTTTGGATCCCAGTCATCATCCAGTGCTTTCTCACTTCTAAAGAAATTTGTCTTTCTCGGGCATCACTTTCACTCTCCATTTTGACCTCTTTAAACGTTAAAAAGAAAAGTTAGTTGTGGAACGAACCGCAAAAAATGTGTGTCCTTTTAGTTTTACCTTCATTAGTTTGCTAATGCAGCTGGACGATTGGTGCTCCACACCATTGTTGAAATCAATGCAAAGAGATCTGCTGCCACATCAACACAGCTGGAATTAAGCAAGGTATTTCAGAATTCTGAAGCGTCTTTTCAGCGCCCAAACCACCGACGCCGCCTCTTTAAAAATAATTCACACATATTTTTTCAGTCATTATATTTAAGACTGTTTTTATTCTGGAGAACCTTGTGGAATTTAAAGCATATAGATACATCCACGATAGAGGAGGAAGAGGCAGCTTTGTTAACCGGTCTGCAGTTATTTGTGGCCACTTGCTACAGTGGTCTCTCTTCACTGTCTTTTATATTAGCAGATTAAAGCTGCCAGGGTAGACAGGACTGCTCACCGGTTGTTGACTGTATAATATGAGTGACCAATGCGTCGACCGCCCTCTACTAGTCTGTCAGCTAGCCCGCAGAGGCTTTTATTTGTTCCCTTTTTTGTATATTCTCTTTATTAGTCTTTCTGTGAAGTAGAACAGCAGTAATTTCTGAAGTGAAAAGTAGCTATAGATATATAAAACTGTCACGAGAAGGTATCGAAACAGACGAGAAATAGAGCTAGTCCGCTTCACTTTATCAGTCACGAACTACAAATGAATGTTGCGGCTAGAAAGCCTTCATCAGCATAGGACTGTGCATAAAAGTATATAATGCCTCAGTTGTATCTCGCACTGTTTAAATGCCTAGGGCAGCATGATGTACACAGGTGTGACCGTTATCTTTGCTGTGACTGACTTTTTATCAGGTTTACTGGGGTGTTTGGAATGCGCCCACCTTGTTAAACTGACATCCGGTATGTCACGGAGGTGTACAACACTTACATGTGGAAAAGGGGGAGGGGGAATTTTGTATATGCATATTAGATGTCTTCTCCTGAATTCATTTGTTTCATCACATACATGTTGAATACACTTGCTAGTGCGCTTGCACAGGTCTATGCCTAGCTGTCTTTTATAAATACTTACCACCCCTTCCTCCAACAGGAACAGGACCACCGCAATCTCACGGAAGTGAGTGTAAATGGTTTGGCAGCAAGCCCTAGCCAGCACCCCTGTAGCGTGACAGGTAAACATGGCTTATAACTGGATCTGTTGCCATCAGTTTGTGAATGTACCATACTCTTATTCTCTCTTGCTCTCTCTCTCTCTCTCTCTCTCTCTCTCTCTATATATATATATATATATATATATATATACACACACACACACACACACACACACATTAGTGCTGTACCGAATATCCGTTTCGGGGCCGAATAGTGGACCTAATAACTATTCGGTACTCGGCCAAATACTTGCGGTCGGGCCGAATACGAATAGTGGTTACCTTACACCCATTTCTGCACACACCGCGATGGATTGAAATAACTCTCTCATTAACACAGCAGTTGCTGTTGCCTAAGTCTGTCGTAGCGGGGGAAACTGCGACCCGGCTGCGTGGTAGAGCAGCTGGCAAGGTCTTTGCCTGCTGACTCAATCGAGGCATTACATTAGAGGTTCTTAAACTGGGTATGTATGCCAGGGGTGCCGCAGCGAAAATCAAGAAAAGTCGGCTATAAATTGTGACATTATCAATAAAGTCATGAAGATACTTAAAAGTTAAATTTTAATTGTTTTTCCTAGCCACTGTCGAAAAGAATTTTGTTTCCCTGTTTCACACTCAAAGTGTATCATACTGTATCATACTGTATAAAATGCCAACCGCAACGTGCTTAAAATTGTATTTGTATTTATCTCGAGGTGCGACCGATCCACCATCTGTATTCGTGAAGGTGCAGCGAATAAGTAAGGTTGTGATTACATTTTGACTGAAATTTTAAAGTGGAAAATGTGGTCTGTACAGTAGTCACTGTTAGCCTGGTCAAGTAAGCACTTAAATTTAAAGGCAATGCGTTGTGAGTCCTGGACTATCGGTAGACAGGCCAAACAGTTTCTTGAGGCCTCAGAGATGTGGTTTTACAGAACAATGCTTAAAATATCTTGAACAGCCCCACTCCCCCCCCCCCCCCCCCAAAAAAAAAGCAACCAAGAGGTTTTGAAAAAGGCGGGAGCCCGAAGACAACCAATCACAGACATCAGAAGGAGACAGTCATCATTTTTCAGCCATGTTATGAGAAGTGGGAAAATGGAACATGTTGTGACCACTGGAAAGATCTGTGGAAGGA